CTGCCTCCTTCTGGCCAGTCAGTCTAGCCAAATCTTCCAGTTAAGAAAGAGAGAACTGATAGACTAAGATCAGAAAGAAGGAGAGGAGGACCTCCCCTATCAGTGGACTTGGGGAGGGGCATGCATGCAGAAAGGGGGGGGAGGGTGGGACTGAGAGGGGAGGAGGGAGGGGCTTATGGGGAGATACAAAATGAAATTAATAATGTAATTAATAAAAGTTAAAAAAAAAGAAAGAGTCCTTGTCTCAAAGCTAAGGAGAGTGAGTGACAGATGCCCTGTTCCCTACACACACACACACACACACACACACACACACACACACACACACACTAAATGTCCAGGAGGATGACTGCTGGGCTGTATGATAAGTATAAATTGGTTTTTTTGAAAACTTCCTAAGTACTTTCCAAATGGCTGCACCATTTTACACTTCCATCACTAAATGTACCACAGCTCCATCTCTTCAGCATAATGACTCGCATCTGATGTTGTCGCTATTTGACTTTAGTTACTCTTGACAGTTTTACAGTCACAGCACAGCAGCATCTCAATTTGAATTTCCCTACCCATATGTCTACACACAAACTGATTGTCAAGTATGATTTGAAGGTTTTCTCTCCTAGTCTATAGCTTAGTTTGTTCTTTCATCCTCTTTTGTCTGGGGTACGTGTGTGTGTGTGTTTGTGTTGGGAGGGCACAGTTGTTCATTGTTAGGTCTCTTCTGTTATTGCTGTCTACCTTGTGTTTTGAGAAATGGTCTCTTACTGAATATGGAGCTTACCAGCCCAGGGAGACCAGCCAGCCAGCAAGTTCTAGAGATGAATATTCCTGTCACTGGGATTTTAAGTGCATGCAGCCAGGCCCTGCTTTTTCTCTGTGTACTGGAGTTGAGAACTTGGGTCCTCGTGTTTGTGCTGCAATTACTTTACTAATAACTAAGTTATCTCTCCAACCTGCAAATTCCTGTTTCTGTCAATAAAAGTCCCCATTTTTTTCTGCCCTAGTAAGCTACGGAGTTGTCTTAGTTAAGGTTACCATTGTTGTAATAAAACACAGTGACCTTGGAGAGTCAAGTGTTTCTTTTATCTTACAGTTGTAGCCATTGTGAAGAGAAGTCAGGGAGGGAAGTCAAGGCAGTAACCTGGAGGCAGAAACTGAAGCAGAAAGCTTCATGAAGGAAAGCTGGTCATTGGCTTGTTCCTCATGGATTGCTCTATCTGCTTTCTTATACAACCCAGGACCACCTGCCCAGGGCTGACATCATCTACAATAGACTGAGCCTTCCCATATCAAGATAATGCCCTACAGGTTTGCCTATGTGCAGTCTGAAATAGAGGCACTTTCTCAGTTAAGATTATTTCTTGCTAGGAATGCCTAGGTTTGTGTTGACAAAATCCAACTGGGACATGAGTAAATGGGTCTGTATACCATCCTCTGGAAAGTAATCAGCTTTGCCTCATTATGTTAAGTACTCTGGTAGTTGCCACACCTTTTAATCGTCACAGAAGACATGAAGCATCTTCTAGTCCTTGTGCACTGTCTAAATAAAGTGAGAGACTTTCAATATAGCTCAGCAGTTAAGGGCACTTGTGATTCAAGCATGAAAACTTGAATTTGATCCCCAGACCTCACAGGGAAAAGGACTAAACTCCTTACTGTTATCCTCTGACCCCCACACATGTGTTCTGGCACGTAGGCCCCCCACTCCTCAAAAGCACCATAAATACACTCACAATAATAATAACTTTAAAAGATTTAAATTAAGGCTCACATAATTCTGGGTACTAGCCTAGACACAGGACTGGAAGATGGTATAAGGGCGGCAGGAAGCAAAAGCCAGGATGATCCAAGCATAGTATCTAGAGGAAAAGCCAGATTACCTAAGGTTAAGTGAAGCCAAGAATCTAGACAGATAAACTGAAACAAAGGAGGATGTGACAAAGGATAGTTGATGAAGACCTGGCCTGGAGGAATTTCCTCTGGTGATGGATACAAAAGAGACTATCGATATGGTGGGAAAGTTTAGGTTCTTTATAACAATGACAGTTGCTATAATTATAATTTAGTAAGTATTTATGTCATGTCAGGTGCCATGACACATCCCTTTTGACCTCATACTAATATTATGGAGTATACACACACACGCATCATCTCCATTTTGTAAATTTGAAAACCAAAGCTTGGTTGGGTCTAGTAACCTGCTCCTGTCCTTTCACCTGGAAATTAGAGGAACAGGCATCCAAAGCCAGTTTGATCTGATTCCCATTACACTAAACCCTACTGTCCCTCTCATATCCTTATTTATTATCTATAATAAGGCCTATACCATATCTGTCTATATCCAAATCACCTATACCTATATTTAGAACAAGATGTTTAATGGGAAAATAAATTAATATTCAGGACCATGTGAAATGGGATAGGAGAATAAAACTAAAGGAAAGAGAGCAAACCAAAGGAAACATATGGGCCCTAATATTCAGTACAGCAACAAACGTTTAGAGTTTCAAATGTGGCTTTGAGCGTCTTTGTGTCAAAGGGAAATACATTCTTACACAAAGTATATATTATTTCTTTGTGTTGATGAGCTAATAGTGATTCATTATGGAAGGTTTCACAGCGAGGGAAAATTCTTAGTGTCCTGAAGGAAAAGAAGATGCAGTTTGGAGGAAAGAGTATTTTCATACCAGCTCGTCAACCAGTGGTGCCTAGGGGGTGTGGCTGTCTAGTGAGGACCCTGCCATGGCACACTATCCAAGATAAACATGCCCTGATGGGGCTCTACAGGTGAGTCTGTCTCAGGTGTGTGGGAAGGAGAAGAGGCCAAATAATTCTGTTCTTCTGCTTTAGATAACAGAAGTAATGTAAGACATTTATTCCTGCACTTATTAAAATATCCTTGCCATGTTGAATTCTGTTTGAACAGAACCCCGGAGCACACCTAGGCAGGGGCAGAAAGATGAATGATTAAAAGGCATTCAAATACCCATGGCATAACTGTACAATGAAAACCAGATGAAAAAATATTTTAAAAATGCCAAAATAGGAGAACAGAGTCGAGGGCTTAATTCTGCTGGGACTGGTTGTTGGCATTTGGGAACATGTGCCCACAGCAGTATGAAAGCTGAGTGGAGACTGGGTGATAAGATTACAGCAGATGTCTCTGCTTGGGAGGCACATTCCTGGAGCAGTGGTGTCAAAGACCTTTCCAAGGACTGGAGACCACTACAATTTGTTTCTAATAGGTTTGGTTTAGATGTTTGTTTACAGGAGCATGTCTCACTTATATCCTATTGATAGTTCTACAAGTCTGTATCCTGGCTTATCTACTCAGTATAGATGCTCAGCGTGCTAGGATGCTCAGCTGGGTGACATTCGAAGGTTAAACTCGTCTTACTCTCCCAGTGACTTAAGGCCTCAAAAGATGAGGGAATCTAAAGAGTGAGCAGTAGAGTTGGGTCTCTGGACCTAACAGTCCTCTTTTCTCTCTTCTGTTTCAACTTCTCATCTTCTCATATTCCTGCCACCTTCAAAACATCTTACCTTTCTTTCCCAGTGACCTAGAGGGCCAGTTTTGGATGTGGGGTGGATAAGTTTTATAGCTCCAAAAGCACCATGTGGTAGAACTCAAAGCTCAGACACCCTTAGGATTCTTTTGGCCTTCACTCTGACTTTCCTACCTTATACCCTCTGGATAACTCAATGGAGGTGCACACTTTGTCATTAACAGCAATAACTTGTGACGGTGCCACACAAAGACCATGGAAGAGAAATGAGAGTGATAATAACCACTGCTGGGTCTAGAGATTTGGGATGTTAACATGTTCAATAGACAGCTAGCCAGCAAGTTCTAGGGAAGAACATTCTTGTCACTGGGATTATACGTGCATGCAGCCATGCCCTACAGACGGCTACTGCCTCAGGAGATGTTTTGGCTTTGCCCAGTTTGTTCTTCAGGACCTATTCATGTTTCATAAATGCCCTGAAGCTCTGGGCTCTCCCACTTTGCTACTGAGATGACAAGACGATGTCACTATCCCACTATGACATGCTGCCCCACCCAGCCAGAGTAAACAGTCCAGTTATATGTGGGGACTCAGTCAGCAAGGCAACCCCTTGAGTGACAGTTCTATCATATAGCTGGAAAGTAAACCTTTTTGGAACAGAAGAAATCTTTGTTGGAAAAAGAAAGTTGTGTTTTAAAAGGTATTAGCACAGTTTGAGGTTTCTTGTGGGTAAAGAGACTTCTGGAAGAAAAGGAAACTGTAGCAGAAATTATTAAAGAAAAGCAGGTAGGGGATGAGCTTCAAAAGGTATTAAAATGAAGAGCTTTAAAGTAGAAGGTGAAATATGAAAGGAGGATAGCATTTTGGTATTCTGACTTTCTAAGACTTGGCTCTGAACTTTAGTGCTGTTGTGGTGGTTATGAAATAGCAGCCTTTGGTTTCCTCCAAAACGTAATGCCTCTGTCTTTTTCCCAGTAGTGGTATCGTGTTGCTGCAGCTACTGTTTCAGGATCAACTCAGCTTTTACTCTCTAGAGCTTGGTGACAAATCAAAGAGTAATAGGCTAATAGAAATTAGATAGCCAATTTCTTGGCTCTTTGTTGTTGCTTTGTTTGGGGGGGGTCCCTGAAGGTTTGAGCTGAAAAGAAAATATTTTTGTATTTGTCAGTAGACATACATGTTTCTATCACATGTCCTTTTACATTTTACCAACTAGAGTAAGTGCAAACAAGAAAGGAAAAGGATCGAAGGAGATGAAATTTTAAAGATTTTTTAATTGCAATGTGATTGGTTCTGAGATCCCCAAATCAAGTTTTAAAATGTTGGGTTTGGATCTGGTAAAGTGAGAACATACAAAAGGTTTTATCCTAACCCTGTTTTATCTGAAAAGTGTTTCACTTTTGCCATCTCCTTTCTGGGTAGTGACATGCTGAATGGATGGGAAGTCCTTCGTTTTCATAACAGATGTCTGTATTCACATCTAGGAAGCCAACGATGGAAGACGTTGAACAGAACCCATTGGATGATGGGTAAGTAATCCAACAACAGGGAACCAGAAAAAAAAAATTACTGCTCTAGAAGTTTCCAACGATTCAGACCACAGTTGTGCAGATGCTCTCTCATTAAGCCTGAGAATCTTGAAAGAAATTTCAGTTTTATTTTCCCTTCTTTCATCACACTGCCATGGTGGGACTTTACAAAAGTTATCCTGTTACCCAGACCATTCATTGACTTGGTTTAGGGGAATGATCCATCTCCCTCCCTCCTTCCCACAAAGATCCATCCCCCTCTCTCCTTCCCACAAAGCCTAGGATTCTGACAGACCTAGACAGAAAATTCCCAAGTTTGTGACAAAGTACTTAAATTTCTTTCATTTTCCAGCTAAATGCCTTGTAGGTATTGCTTAGATTCAATATTCTCCTTATGAAATCTTGGAAGTGAACAAGTTAGAATACAATTGTTCATATAAAAAGATGGTTTTCCCTTCGAATGCAAAAGATTTGCATCTTAGTATCATTTATAATATTTGAAATTAAAATGAGTCTGACATACGTTTACTTTAGGAGAAATATTGGAGATGTTGGTTTATCCTGGGAAAATAAGTCAAACCTATTAGTCTCCAACAGGAACCTGGAAAGTGGGTGAGAACTCAGGAATGTCTTCTTAGGATTGTGGTGTTCTGTGCTGAGTTTAGTCATGAAGACATTTTTCCTGCAGGCATGAGGTAACAGAAATATCAACTTTAGAAGCCATAAAACAGAATCTCAGATACCTGAATGCAGACCTTGAAAAAGATCTACAGAAGCTGGATGAGGCCAATCAGATTCTTCTCAGAAGGATTCAAAAGAAAGAAGAATCTATAAAAAGGTCAGTGAAACAGAATAGAGGGAAGCAAGGATGGAATGGGGTGGGTTCACTGGTGGAAAGCTCAGCGTGTTATTTAAATCCTGAAATGTGAACTGCGATGCCCTCAGAAGGCTTTGGTACAGATCTTTGGGCTCTATTTCTTCATTTAGTTGACATTCTGCTGCAACTCTCACTCCAGATCTCCAAGATATTGGTGGTGTGATTTTGGTGACAGCTTCCTTTGGACTGAGCCACACCTGAACGACTTTATGTTTTTCAGTCTTGAAAGAGATATTGCCCTGTCCGTAGGAAGAGCCCCAGAGAGGGATGACTTCAATGAGATCATAATAATGAAGGAGAGTGCCCTGAAGGAGCTGGAGCTGGAGACAGCAAAGCTGGTGAGAAGACTTCTAAAAGAGACCCTAGGATGCCTTCTGCAGGCATCACTCCATTGTCTCCCCAGAGGCGCCACATATGTTCCTTACCTTGTGGCTATAGAAGTAACCGCTGCTTGGGGCAGTGCTGTGACAATGAGGCACTAGGCATGGGGACAAGACCTTGACTCTGTCCTACGTCCCCCATGTAAGACCTGGGTGCATTTTTCTGAACTGACAATCTCGTCCCTACATATTACATATTACGTCAGTGGCCTGGGTGAGGCAGAAGGTTGAGAGCAGAATCTGGTTGTCTTTTGGATTCTTTCTTCCTACAGGAGAAAAAGAACAAGAACCTAAGCAGGAATGTGATGGAACTCCAGAAGAAGGTAAGGAGACACCACAGGTTGTAAGGTGCCCCATTTCCTACAACATTGTCTTTACAAAAAAAAGGCTGCTAGAATGGGCAATAGACATAAGAGGTGAGCTTGGGGGATATTCAGAATTACACACACACACACACACACACACACACACACACACACATACATATATCTTTATCAATTATATGTAACCACATAAAAAAATTGATTATATGCTACAAACAAATGAGATTTTTTTTCACACACTAAATTCTATCCTTGAAATATGACTGATTTCTAAATAATCTTCCTAAACTCTCTACTCAGAAAAACAAGGAGAAGGCAGTAAAATCTCTGTCCCCCATCACCTTCAGAGTCTTCAAACAGACACCAAGCTAGTATTTGTCCCCTGGTCACAACAGGGTATGAGAAGAAAGCTGAACTATAACGTGAACAAAGGCTCCCACTGATTCCCCAACTCCCTACTGCTATGCCCATTCTCCTCTCTTCGTTATGGATCTGTGATGGTCATAGGCACAGAAAAGGATATCCACTAGTGCAGAAAACCTTACATACTCTTACAGAAAACCTGAGTCCTGTTTCTGGTACCCAGGCCTGGTAGTTCGCAATCACCTCTATTTCAAGCTCCAAGGATTTGAAACCATTTTCTGGGTGCCAAAGACAGTTGTGCTCACATGTATATACCTACACACACACACACACACACACACACACACACACACTTTAAATAAATATGATTCTTAAAATAACAATAAGAAGAGGCTGTCCACTCAGTCTGGACTGAAGCAACTTCCACAAGGGTCAAATAGACATATGTCAGTAACTGAATTAGTAACCGCAATTGTTCTACTAGCTAAGACTCCAGCCTAACCTTTAGCTCATCTGTTTGCCTTGGTGAGTTCACAGTTTCTGGAATGGTATTTCAGATTTCAAGAGGACTTAAGAGTGCTGGCCCTGAACCAGAAACCCTGAAGAAGAAAATGGCAGAATTGAAGGTAAGAAGAGCAAACTGGAAAATTTGGGGGACGCATGTCCTAGGTTCTGGAAGGTTTTCATGACTTCTCCTAGGCATGATGCTAGGTGTGTCCTTTTATGCAGTGAGACAATGTCCTTTACTCCTCTGGGGCCATCCTAACACTGCTGTGCACATTAGAAACAGCAGAGATTACATTGCCTTCAGATGGAGGGACTGGCTCGAAAGCCTCGTCAGTTAATGAAACACACTCCAAACAGTTATTGGGGTCTTCCCTAGAGAACTTTATATCTCAATGAGGACACACAAATACAGACATCAAAGAGGAAAGGAAATGCTAATTATCATGGTTATATAAGGATATATCAATGAACTTATATGGTTCGCGAAGCTGCGGCTCATAGAGTAAATTTTATTTTCAAATTTCATTTTTTTTTCTTTTTCCTCTACTAGAAAGTAAAGCAACTGACAATATTACTGACTATATATGTCAGCAAGCCAGTGCCTAGAACACAGAAGATGTCCAACAAATACCTATTGAGAGAGCAAATGAAATGGACTCAAATTGTGTGCAAACAGGTTGGGAGGCTCTCTGTAATTTTAGGGGACAAGTGTGGCATTTGGCTGAACCTACCATCAAAAGGCCCCTTTTCTGCTTTTCTCTGAACCAGTTGGATGGCTTCTGTGACCCACATGTGATTTAGAGAGAGTGCCTGAACCATCCTGAATGAGGGGGAGAAAAAGGCTGGTGGTCATTAGTAGGAGGAAGGAGAATGGCCTGGATTCACAGGAGAGCCAGCATACCAAGGCTTAAACGTCAGCTCTGCCATTCTGACATTTGGTTGAGTTATGTACATAACTTCTCTGTGCCTTTGTTTCCTCCTCTGCAAAACAGGGATCATGGCTGTATCCTCCCTTAATTATCATTTGGGATAATTGCATGATGCATGATGGCCGCCCTGAGTTTGCTTTCTGCTGGCCTGAGTTTTCCTTGCACAAGGGAATGCTACTCATTTTCTGCTATTACTATCTTCCCTAGGTGAAACTACAAAATTCAACTGAGTCCTGTGCACAACAAGAGAAGGAAATAGCCAAGGTTAGATTAAACCAGTGCCTTTTCCACTAAGAATCTACGTAGGACATAAATAGGGGGAAAAGTTGAGGCTCTTCAGAAAGGTTTTCAGGCATGGGAGGGATGGAGCAGAAAAATCTGGCAAGTGAATTTCTGATTCACAGGCAGATGGAAAAAAAAAAAAAACACTTTCATATTACTGGCCTTAGCATTTTAGAAACACACACTTTCCCCAAATACCCTGTAGAATCCCAAATCCAATGGTGCTTATTGCATTTCCTCCTGTTTTCTGGAGAGACACAGCGTCACGTGGGTGAAGTTTCTCCACATCCCCCACTCAAAATTTGTCCCTATGCCTGAATGATGAGCTCTACACTTTGGGAAGTGGCTGTTTCCCTTCAAGTAAGGAGTTGCTAGGTAACTGGCCACGTGTCCAATGGACTAGGCAGGTTCCCGGGGAAGCAGCCAAAACTTGGTACAGGGTGGAACTCATGTGGTTTGTGGTTTTCCTCTTTTTCTAGATGGAGAGTGACTACCAATCTGTCTATCAGCTCTGTGAAGACCAGGCCCACTACATAAAGGTAGAATATTACTGAGGAAAGTCAGAATGGAGGCAGATGTCCCCAAGCCAGGAGAAAGCTGCTTTCATCTGCCATGGGGAAATGCCTTTCATTCAACGGAATGGCCAACAAATGTGAATGTTCCAAACAGTGTGCTGGACCCTGGTCATACACTGTTTTCCTCAACCCATTTGTCTAGCAATTCTGAGGTGCTCTGAGGAGGACATGGGAGCTTCAGGTAGCTCTGCTGCATGCTGGGGGAACTCAGTCCAGCTCAGGGCTGTGATTTGAGTACAAGCAAGGTCTAGAAGAGGAACCTGTGTTTTCCTATGCCCATCCTGTCATTATAACCTCTGATTTTTTTATTATAACACCCCCTACTTTGTACACCCTGTTGTGTGAAGTCTATGGAATGTTAGTTCATTTTAGCGGGATATTCCTATTAGTGACTTTGAAATAAAGACCAAAATTCTTATTTATGATGCCCTCCATCATGGGAAGAAATATCAAGACATTCTGAGGGAGATGAAGAAGGAACAAGAAGTGATGCTGCTTGAGAAAGAAATGTAAGTTTGGAAACACCCCCCCACACACACACACACACACACTGGTGGCTTGCAGTGCCTGTCCCAGGCAGTCCCTGGGGGACAGAGCATTCCTGAGAACAATTGCTGTCACTGAGTGAAGGACGTAGAGCAGGTCCTTTCTGGCAACCTCTGTTCATGCTCCAGACCAAACACTCATCCGAAGAGCAGATACTACTGCTCTTCCCAGTAACTGGGACCTGAGATCTCTTTACAATGCTCTCTTCATATATCCTTAGTTGAGCACAGTGTCCCCAACTGACTCAAACTATGTTCAGAAGGAAAAACCATAGTGAAGAGATACCTACATGCAAGGTACAAATGACTGGCATCTGTATGTGTCACAACCTTTCCCAGGACATTGACATATGGATGATCAGAGAGCTGTAGATATATTTCTCAGGACTTGAAACTTTGTTGTTGTGATTGTTGTGTACGCTCTTTAATTGTATCACATATGATACAATATGCACAGGCTGCACACATCTTCACTTCATAACTGTTAACTTTTTCCGTGTATCCACATATAGAATATAATAAGCCCCAGAAGTCTCATTTAACCCTTTATCCTGTCAAATATCCCTTGCAAAAATAACCACTAGTATGATCTTTGTAAAACTCTATCCTCAATTTTTCCATAAGTTCAATCCATAGTCTCTTATGTTGGGTTTTCACCGAGTTTTATCTCTACTACATCATGTGATTTGCTCTTTACAATATTCCGTGTATGAACTATCACTGAGTTTTATCATATTAAAATCTGCTATACAATGTACTCATGTATGCCTTTTGATGGATGTACTCTTCCATTTTTGAAGGGTCATTGGGTACACACACCTTTGTTGTACTAGATGAAACAATTGTCTGCAGTCTATAGCCTGTTTTTACAGGTTCTGTTTTCTGTAGAGTTAATCTATGTCTCTGTCCTTTTACCTATATGGAACTATTTTAATTATTCTAACTTTATAGTTAACCTTGATACATGGTGGATATTATCTGCGAGTGTATTGTTCTTAAGATTGTTTTGGCTATTTTTGGACTCATGAATTGTTTTGGCTATTTTTGGACTCATGAATTTCAATACAAATATTTTATATCAGTCTTTCAATTGCTACCAAAATAATAAAAATTTAAGGAGATTTTTATTACAATTAGTAGAGTATGTAAATAAAGTTTGGAAGTTAATCAATGTTCCAACTTGGTCCATCCATTTATTTAGATCCTTTTTATTATTAATTACACTTTATTCACTTTGTATCCCCCATAAGCCCCACCCTCCTCCCTCCTCCCCTCCCAGCCCCACCCTCCCACACCCTTCTTCACGCATGCCCCTCCCCAAGTCCACTGATAGGGGAAGTCCTCCTCTCCTTCTTTCTGATCTTAGTCTATCAGATCTCATCAGGAGTGGCTGCATTGTCATCTTCTGTGGTAAGGCTGCTGGTAAGGCTGCTCCCCCCTCAGAGGGAGGTGATCAAAGAGCAGGCCAATCAGATTATGTCAGAGGCAGTCTCTGTTCCCATTACTATGTAACCCTCTTGGACACTAAACTGCCATGGGCTACATCTGTGCAGGGGTTCTAGGTTATCTCCATGCATGGTACTTGGTTGGAGTATGAGTCTCTGGGAAGACCCCTGTGTTCAAATTTCTTGTTCTGTTGCTCTCTTTGTGGAGTTCTTGTCCTCCAGATCTTACTATTTCCCACTTCTTACATAAGATTCCATGTACTCTGCCCAACAGTTGGCCATAAGTCTGCATCTGCTTTGATAGTCTGCAGGGCAGAGCCTTTCAGAGGCCCTCCATGGCAATTTATTTAGATCCTTTTTAACTCTTCTATAGTGTATTGTTATTCTATGGAGTATCCTTGTACATCTTTAATCATACTGATAGGTTTTGATATTGTAAATGTTATGTTCTTTTGATTTTAGGGTTGCTGGTTACTACTGTATATGAATACATAGGTTTCTATGTACTGTATTGTATCCATTGACCTTGCTTTTGCTGTTTGTTGTTGTTGTTGTTTTTGAGTCTCGAGTTACCCAGAGAGGTAACTAGGAGTCAGCTCCCACATTGACAGGGAAGCCCACTTAAGTATTTACTTTGAATTGAACTCCAGACTCTGCCTCCTCACCTTCTGCTTGGACTCTGTTTTCCTGTACTGAGAGTTGGCACATGTTTGTGAAGGAAAGCCTAGGTAAACATGGAGCCTCCCGTGTGTGCTTCACTTGACTCAGGGGCATGTGTCCTTTTGACCCATGACTCATGACTGCTCATGACTGTTATAGCTACTTTTGGAAGTAGCTTGGTCTGACACAAACTACTTTACCATGGAAGAGCTAGGAGCCTATGCCAATTCTCTCTTTACATGTTTATTGATTACTATAAAAGTAAATATCCATGAAAATGCTGGATACACTTACTGGATCAATTCTGTAACAGGAAACAACTCTCTAAATAAAACAGATACTCTAACAGTGACCAGAAGGCTTGGAAAGAATAAAAGCAGGCAGATGTTAGAGAAGAGGTGGCGATTGGGAGAGGAGAATGACAGGAAGTTATTTTTCCCAATGTTATACCTTCTGGCCTGAGAGGTCAGGCCAAACCCATTGTGTGTATTTTATGTATGGAGCAGTTAAAACATGGAGGAAAAATTTAGAATTTAGGCCACTAGAATGAAAGACAGCCAGACTGGGAAGTTTCAGGATGTCATTCTGATGTTAGATTAGAGCCACATAGTCCATCTCTGCTGGCTGTTCATGTGCCAGTGGGATTTTACAACCTCAGTGGGGATGTTCACAGACAGCCCTGGGCATTTGAAAGTCAGCCGGAGATTTAGGCTCAGTTTAGGCACACATTCTCTTTCTCTTAAGAAGGAAATGTGTGCTGGCTAGCTTTTATGTCATCTTGACACATGATAGAGTCCTTAGAGAGGAAGGAACCTCAACTGAGAACATGTCTCCATGATGTCGGGATGTAGGGAAACCTATAGGGCTTTTTCTTAATTAGTGATTGGAGGAGGATGGTCCAGCCCATTGTGGGTGGTGACATCCTTGGGCTGGCAGTCCTGGGTTCTGTAAGAAAGGGGCTGTCTCTGGCATGAACTCAGTGGCTGGCTCTCTGATCACCTTGCCCTGGGGGGCAGCCTTGCCAGACCACAGAGGAAGACAGTCCTGATGAGATCTGATAGACTAGGGTCAGATAGAAGGGGAGGAGGACCTTCCCTATCAGTGGACTAGGGGAGCGGCATAGGTGGAGAAGAGAGAGGGAGGGTTGGACTGGGAAGAGACAAATGAGGGGGCCACAGCTGGGATACAAAGTGAATAAGTTATAATAAATAATATTTTTTTAAAAGAAAGGAGATTGAGAGAGCCAAGGGGAGCAAGCCAGTAAGCACCCCTTTCACAGCCTCTGCATTAGTTCCTGCCTCCAGGTTCCTGCCCTATTTGAGTTCTTGTCCTGACTTCCTTTAGTGATGTGGAAGTGTAAGCCAAATAAACCCTTTCTTCCCCAAGTCATGGTGTTGTATCAGAGCGATAGTAACTCTGGCTAGGAAAGAATGGGACTGGGATACAGCTCAGTGGCAGAGCATTTGCCTAGAACATGTAAGGTCCTCAGTTCATTTCTCACCATCAAAAAGGGGGAAGGATCCATAAGACAGGGAGGCAGAAGCTGGAGGCTCTTGGGAGAAAAAGGGAATCAAGTGGGGAGGTTAGAGGCAGTTGACAAGAAGGCAGTTAAAAGGGTAATAAATTAAAACAAAGTATACTAACTTACATGTAAGAAAGGCCATAATGAAACCCATTGGAAGTAACTGAAAATAAATCAGTCATGTTTCCCAACATCTTTGTGTGCTGAGAAGCTATGAATTTCAACCAAGCCACAGGTGTTTCTTGACTTAGGAAAGCGCTTGTCAGCAGGATAACTGGCTCTTATCTTCCTTGTTGTTTGCATATCCAGGTCCAAAGCCCAGAAGGACTCTTCCCAAGTGGTGAGACCTGGCTCAACTCTGGTCGAGACCATTCAAAGCAACATGGTGAGTGTGCCTGCCTACAGTTGGACTTTTCTTCCAGGGCTGTCTCTCTCACTCTCCCTCCTCTGTTTTTTGTTTGTTTGTTTGTTTGTTTGTTGTTTTAATTCTGGGGATATGGGATGGAGAGATGGCTCAGAGGCTCTTAAGCACTTAGGTGCTCTTCCAACGGTCCTGAGAACAATTCTCAGCAACCACATGGTGGCTCATAACCATCCAAGATGAGATCTAGTGTCCTTTTCTGGTTGAGCAGGCATACATGCAGGCAGAATACTGTATACACAATATATATATATATATATATATATATTTTTTTTTTTTTTTAAATTCTGGGGCTAGGAAGAAAGGTTCTTTTGCCTGGCACCACACCATGACATTGGGGAGGTGAGGGCAAAGGGAAGGCAGAGCCAGGATACAAAGCTGGATGACCTAACTGCAAAGTCTCTTCTTGCAGCCGCCCCACCGCACTTCTTACATTTCATTGAGGTTCTGGTCACCCCTAGTTTTCATGTTCCTTACTTTCCACAGGAAAAGAACATCATTAAGAAACAGAAGAAGAAGTTTTTGCTTAGGTAAGTGGCAGAATCATGCTCCTGACCTAGTTGGTACAAGCCACATTCGCTGTGCTATTTGACTGGATACAGGCCAAAAGAATGAGCATTAGCATCAGAGAGATACATCATGCAGCCTCGGAGTTCTCCGAACTCTTCCTTTCTTTCTGTGTACAGAGTTAGGACGGCAAGCTTACACGGTCTAAGTAGCTGAAGGAAATAGTGTCCACTTCCGAGAAACTCAGGATGGAAGTCATAGGTTACATTTCAGTTCCTCTTACGTTCCCACTGCGTTGCTCCCTTTCAGTTTTGTAGGTTCTGCATCCAAACCTTTGCTACATTCTTGGAAAAAGAGGACAGGGTACACTAACTTCTTTTGTTGTCTTACCGTAGGCTAAGAATCTACAGGGGGAGAAAAGTCACTTTAATTCTGTCTTTTCTTTTTCAATGTTTTGGAATAAGGAGAGTTATCTTCATTTTCTAGAATTGCTTGCTGTAGGAGACATGAAAGGCACCACTGGCCATCAGGCTTGCAGTGTGAGCATCTTAAACTTTTACTGTTAACCTCCGAAAGGCCTGCCCCATATGTAGTGCCCAGACAGTCATCTATTCTATTGGAAAACTTGCATGTCATGAAGGCAATGTTCAATGCTTGACCACTAAACCATGGCTTTTCTGTGTTCTCCTGTCATCTGCATTCACCATCTCCACCCCCATCTCCTAAGCACCCCAAACGCTTTGCCAAAAAGAAAGCAATTCACCAGCCATTTGCTATTTCATATCCCATTTGCTTGTTTAAGCTAATGATGAATTGCTCTTCACAGGCACTTCCGATACCTTTTCTTCGTGATTATGATCGTCATTCGGCTACTGGGCTATATGTTTTTCCACCTGCAGTATATAAACCCCGACCTTCTCGTGGACACCCTGCCCGTGCTCATGAGCAGAAGCAGCTTGAAGTGGCTAAGGGACTTACTGTTTCCATTCCTCACTCTAGAGGTGGAAGATGTGCTACCCCACTAGTACGGGGTGACCTGCCAGGCCTCACATTGCACCCCAATGGAGGGGCTGTGGCTGTTGGCCCTGCGCTGGTGGTGTGGGCCAGGAAGAAACTGAAAGCTTGTGACTCGGAGCTTCTATGTGACAGCTGAGCTTTATATTTCATTCTCTCTTGGAGTGTCTCTCTGTCAAATACAGCATGGATTTTTACCAGAGTTCACTGAATTGGTCTGTGTGTCCTGGGGCCTTCTACATAGTCGTAAGTTCCCTGTTCTGTTGAGAGGAAACAAAAATAAAAACTCCCCCTGGGGCTTCCATTTTCTGCTTCATTTTATTAAAGGAAAAAAGATCATGTGTTCATTTGTTAGCTCCTGTCATTTAGGGGGAGGCATGCATGAAGGCATCCATGGGACTAGATATAAGACTGAAAGTCATATTAATAACATTTTCTCCCTATAGTTTTTTGTGCTTTATAGTATGTCTTTAAAATGTGACATAATACAAAAGTGACATATGTAATTACTAATTATTAAATGAGAAGAAATTAAAGTTCAAGTGTTAAATAATTAAGTATAAAATTTAGAAAATATTACTAGATACAGCCAAATAAAAAGTTGTACCTTTAAATATTGCTAAGCCAAGATTTTTGATTATCATCAAATTCTACCTTCTAACTTCTCCCAACTAGAGAGACCACCTTTCTCACCTTCTACCAAAAGCCTTCTTTGGGTTTCCTGTAGAAGCCAGCCTTCGAAGTTCTGGTGTCATTCCTAAGTGAATTGACCTTGAGACAGGTGTCCTCCTTATTTCTCACCACAACCACACAGACCTTATCACAGGGGGGTTACAGAACAGGACTTAGTAAAAAGACTAAATGGCTACTTTTCCAGCACATCTGGAGGTTGTCAACTGAAACCATGAGGCTAGGACCTCGCATTATAAAAGTCCTTACTTTCAGCAGCCCTGACAAAGTGCTGATGTGACAGTAAGGAGTTGAGGGCAGACACAGTGGAAACACGAGGTCACCTGTCCAGCTGGTGACATCTCCATACTCACAGAAGCTGCCCTGGGAGAGGAGCTTTATTTTTTGGCATTATCTTTCAGCACATTCCACGTGTTCTTGCCTTCTGGGGGAGTTTCCTATTTTGGAGCTCATTCTTGATAGAGATTTTAACAGTTTTGTTCAACAACGCTGGAGCAGAGGCAGCACTCTGTTTTGGCTGCAGGCATGATCTTATCTCCGGTTTTCTTTCTGGGGGCGTCTAAGAACGTAGAATAATCTCTGAAGATGGCACCTACAAAATAAAAAATAAATTAAAAAAAAATAAGACAACGATCAATAGCATCCTCTAGTGGCCAAATGATGTAAAAACACTTCCACTGGCTTCGTCCAATCAATCAGATGGCATTCCTGGATAATTCTTTCTCAGTGTTCTAATAATTTCAAAGGGTCTTCATTCACTCACTCACCCAGTCAATCACTCTAAAAGCGTTCATTGGACAACATCATTGGTCTAGCCAGCATCCTAGATATTAGCATGATAGTGTTGAGCATAACAGACCAAACTCTGCTCAAATCATAGCTGGTAAGCAAACACACTTGGATATACAAATATCAGGTGATGTTGAGTGACATAACCACGTTAGGCAGTCGGGGGGCAAGGACTGAGACGGAGAGGTCAGTTTTTGCTGACCAGAGGTGTTGAACACTAGAAATGCTCAGACCACAGCTACAAAAAGAAGCTAGAGCTTCTCACGTGGAAGGTTCACCTCTTGTTTACAGATTGTAGTACATACTGTGGATGTATACATTTTTTTCTCTGCCCCTTTCAGTTTTCTCTTCTTTCTATCCGTGTGTGTGTGAGAGAGAGAGAAAGGGAGAGAGAGTACATGTACACATGTGTATGTGTGTGGAGGCCAGAGGTTGATGTTCAGTGTCTTCTTCAATTGCCTTCCTCTTAATTAAATATTTTTCTTTATTTTAATTTTATATGTATGGATTCTTTGATGCCTGCACATCTGTGCATCATGTCCATGCAGTACCTGTGGTGGCCAGAAGAGGGCATCGGATCTCTTGGGACTGGAGTTAGAGGAGGTTGTTAGCTGCCCAGTCAAAGCTCTTAATTGCTGAGCCATCTCTCCAGCAACTCCGCCATATTTTTTGAAACATGGCCTCTCACTGAACCTGAAGCTCACCAACTGTACTAGACACATTGTCCTGCCAGCCCAGATATCTTCCTGTCTCTGTCTCCACCCCCAGCATTAATATCATAGGCATGATAGCCTGTCCCCGAACCAGGCTTTTTATGCTAGCTTGGGGGGGGGGGGTGTATTCAAGTCCTCATCCCTGCATGGCATGGACTGTATCAACTGAGCCATCTCCCCATCACCTTGACTGTGTTAATTTTAATAGGCATATGGGTACCAGATGTGATAATGGATGCACAAAGTGTCAGGAAGTCTACAGGCAGCATCTGTAACAGGTTAACCTGCAGCGAGATGTTGGCAGAAGGAAATGAATTGCTGATAGCCGAAGCAGAACTCCGTGCTTATCTTCACAGCTTCTCTAAGTCTTGCCCAGTTCCCCAAAGTCCTGTGAAGGCAACGCAAGGCCCATGACAGCTGCCTGGCCACACAGTGAACTAGCTGCAGGAAGGGACCAATAAGTTGCAGAATGACTGGTTGTAAGTGAAGATCACCTGGCTGTTCTCCGAGGCACTCGTCTATTCTTCAGGGTGACGCTGAGAAATGACCTGGATAAAAGGGAACCAGAACTTTGCGTTCTTGGCAGACAAAACAAGAACATACAAGGATGCTCAAAGGCCATGACCTACCTCAGCCAGAAAACACAATGGCTGGCAGAATGTTGATATTTCAACAAATGTTAGCCATAGCTTTTGAGCCTGCCAGTATTCATGGCTAAGTAACATACTATGTGAAATTCAAGGGAGATGAATGGAAGACTCAAAGAGCCAGGGACAAGGGTGTACATACATAAGACATTTGCTATTAGCCTCCAGCGTAACAATAACATTGGAGTGGTGGGGTTATTGAAGATTAAATACAAACAACAATAAAATAATAACAAGAACTGAAGGGCTGAATATATCTTTTATATAAAATCACTCTTGATAGTAGTGGGACGTGGGAGGGCGTGTGTGTGTGTGTGTGTGTGTGTGTGTGATGTTAAAGCAGAGCACTTGACATGCCTGAGCCTGCTTGCTATCAAGTCTCTGTCACTATGAAGGCTTAGTGTCAAGTGCAGAGATGAACGCACATGTGGCCGAGAAGGTTAATGTTAAACCATATACCGTGTGCCCAAAACTTGAAATGGGGATGCCTTGATCTAGAGAACTAGACACTATAAAAATCCCAGGATGGCTCTAAAATCGGGGATTTGAACCACATTCTCTCCGGACAGCTTTAAGGTCTCTTGTGACATGCTTAGACATAAAGACAGACACACAGAGAACTTAAAAATCTGACATCCTAGCTATTTTCCTTGGCTTTTTCTCTCCAGTCCTGAAAGATGACAGGGCTCCTATATGATCTGCTTTTAAGAGCTTGTTTCATCTGTACTTTTTCCTGCCCTTTCCTGGCTGATGTCAAAAGCTTTATGAGACTGAGAAGGCATTTCCAAAGAGGGAGAGTTTGGTTTGTAACTGAATTTTCAATGAAGCCATTATTCTCTGTGTGCTTTGATATTAATCTTAATTGAGGGGCTATTTTCTCAGGCTCTCTGGATGAGAACACCAGTTCTGGGAGGTTCTGGGAAATGCTCCTATAACCCAGTTAGATTATTTCTTCTCCAATCTTTTCTCCAAACACATATTCAGTGTCTAAGCTGTACTGTGATCTATAGTTACATGGAATCTGGGTGTTGTTCGTTTCTTTTCCTTTTTTACTAAAATTGAAAGTAATTTAAGAAAAAAATACCACTAAGCTTACCAATTTAAAAAAAAAAAAAGGTTTGCAAGTAGCTCCACACAAGTAAGCCAAATTGTAGCACAAATGCCGTCTTCAACTTAAATGTCTCATGAGTGGATCTGGCCTGTCCCATTCCTCCACCACACCTCACCCCATCTGACCAAGTGACTTTATTCTGATTTACACAGGCAGCTCCATCTTCAGGATCTTGTTTGTGAAGGGCTGGGGCAGCTGCAGAGTTCAGCTGGGAGGTTGGTTAGCAGAATGGTCAAATTCTCTAGGCCTCAAGCTGTACCCTCCAGCCGCGACTCCTTGCAGAACCCAGGTTCCTGGGAGCTAAGAGAGCAGAACGTTCATTCTTTGTTATACAGAGGATGTGGAAGACAGAAAATAAAGTGTACCATATAATACCTATGTAAAAACTTTGGTTTTGTGGTAAAACTGCAGTGGTGGGGCTTTCTACCCTTTGACATAGTCTTCTAAAAGCGATTTATGCTTAAGTTTTTAACAGTTACTAGCTTTACATGAGGGTCACTTAGGTATGTGAGACCTTGAAAATGTTAGTCTCCGTCTTAAGCCATTTCTCCAGAGACCTCACTCAGCTGACAAGAAGAGTGTCAACCATCTTAAACCCTTAGTTTACTAACGTTGAGACAATAGGCTTCTGAAGGGGAAGTTTTAAAAAGCAAAACAAAATAAGTAGGTTACACTTTATCCACGTTGCCTGATTCCTTGATATAAATATACTTAACACAGTCAAGACAAAACATCTGAAGTATTTATCCTTGCTCACAATTATCAATAATATGAAAATATCTGAAGCAAAACCCGGAAGTAAAGGACATTCTATGGGAGAAGAACATCACATATCAATTAGCTCCTCTTTCTGGTATTCTAGACTTGTGTGAGATTTGGGTCTTCAGCATGTACTGCCTGGCAAAGACCCAGTGATTCTCTGTCTCATCATGGAAGTCAGATGAATGAACTAGTGCAGCCATAAATTCAAAAGACTAAGAAACTTCCGGCGAGCACAGTTCTAGCTCCCCTCCACCTATGAATCTGGATGTATTAGTTGTATTGTTTGTTGTTGTGATGGA